TTGTTGTGCGGGGTTGCGTCATTTGGACACGCCAGGAACCTATAATCGTGGGTTTCAATCATTGTTTCAATCCAGATTTGTTAGCACCATACCCGTGGCCCGTGGGTTTTAACCAAAATGATAAACGTCTGACACCTGAATCACATGATGTAACTCGAATTCTAATAAAAACGACTTTAAAACTTACGTACATGTAGTCCACAGATGTTGTGGAGGTTTGAGAAGCCAAGAGATGAAGTCATTTACCTTTGCAAGTAGAACTGCGGGGTTTGAATCACAACAATGGTACAGGTCAACTCCAGTGAGTGCTACTTTTTACCGATTTCTTACTTTTGATACTTTTGAACATATGGTCGTCTACTATGGATATCTTTTGTCTTCCTCGACATGGCTAGTTTCAAAGCTTGAAGAAATAATTAAAGACATTCTTTTCACAAAACATGTACAAGGGAAGATATTGTTAATATTTTAAAACAAAAGAAATGGTAATAAGTGTTGTTTATATATATATTGATGCTAAAAAGTAATTTATTACATATTTTACCTGTACTTCTGTACGTTTGCCCATCTATTGTATAAATGTATGACATGTTTATATCCATGTGTCAGTGTTGCTGGGATTTTGAGAATAAACTGTTCTGGGCATCTACGTTATCCCGACAGGACTGTTTCCTGGTGTACGGCATCGACCAACAGACAAACACATTTTTCACGTCGTCATCGTGGGAGCGACAGAGCAGAATATTCTTACCTTTTATTAAATGATCTGATATCACTAAGTGACCAGTGATCCATTCATATATTCCTCATCGCTCTTTGCCTTTGCCTAGTTGAATGGCAGTTCGACTGGACATTCTGTGGACGTCATGTTATATACATACACACACCTTCGTTGGTGACAGAAACACAAGATGAAATGTGAAGAAAGTATTTATATTCAACCACTTGAGGACCAGAGACATCAGTTACAAAAGCCATCTTTTCCAATTCTCTTTAAACATCCCTATAGCCTACGATCAACTAATTAAGGCTAATCAAGAATATCCCTTCTTCACCCTTTGTCTATCTGACTGCAGTCATTGCCTCAATAACAACAAGCCTCATTTTGTCAACATAATGTACATCAACCTATTCAATTGTATAAACTCAAATACCCGTCTCATATAATATATGATATGATGAGTAACGATGATAGGATCTACACCGAAACGTGTATTCTATACATCTTATACATCCATTTTAACCACAATGCAATAAAGGCTAGCAATCTCAGTTTACTAATTTAAACTACCAATAATAAAATATATATCTATTTACAAATCAGTTAGCAAGTCTAATTTTTTTTAAAAGGCAATAATTAAATGAGAACTTATATTACTAAAAAAGATCCTTCATAGTTTTACTTTGAAATAAATATCCCTTGTGATGGAATATTCAACACAGTCAAGCAGGACATGCTTGACCGTGATTCTTTCATCACAAAGGGATACAAAACGGAGGATCCTCACCTTTAATAGGTACTCATGAGTATATCTAGTGTGGCCAATACGACATCGTCGTATGATGACCTCTTCAAATCTGGACTGACAACCCAAGTAGGTGTAACCAATATAGGGTTTTATTTCATGTAATTTATTTATACCTACTTGGGTGTCCTGACTTCTTCTGCATCAGATCACAGATGTAGGTTCTAATGCTTGCTTTGTAATCAGAGAGTGGAATAAGAAGTGGTGTCACAGATTTGTTGAGTGCTGCCTTGGCAGCAAGATCGGCCATTGTATTCCCAGAAATACCAACGTGACTGGGTAACCAACAGAGGACGATGTCGCATTGGCCAGTTGCAAGATCATTATATAATTCTATAATTTCTATTAAAAGTGGATGTTTACAAGAAATATTTTTAATCGCCTGAAGGCAAGATAGAGAGTCAGAAAAAGATTATGTATTGTTTATATTTAGGGTGTCTATTTATATATTTGAGAGCTGTTAGGATTGCGTTTGCTTCAGCTGTGAAAATGGAACGGTCAGTGGGTAATCTGGAAGATATTGTTTTGGACTCCAATGACAGTGGCACAAGCAACCGCGCCACCATCCTTGGACCCATCTGTAAATAAGGATTTATATTATTATATTTACTTTTAATTGATTATATTCTTGTTTATATTGTACGTCATTAGTTTCTAAATTTTAAATTTTAGTGAGTGTTAGGTCGACTTGTGGCCTAACCAATTGCCAAGGAGGAGAAGAAAGAAGACGGAAGGCGATATATTCTCCAACTCAATGCCAGCAGCAGAAATATATCGTTGGATTCTTATCACAAGAGGTGGGACAAGTGAAGTTTTTATTATACAAATCCTCATAAAGAGGATTAAAAACGCAACTGTGAGCAGGATTGGATTCATTAGAATATAACTTTGTGATATATTGTAGGGACAATTTAACACGGCGAAGTTTTAAAGATGGCTCATCGGCCTCAACGTAGAGACTGTCAATGGGAGAGGTTCTGAAAGACCCAAGACAAAGTCTTAGACCCCTGGTGATGGATAGAATCAAGTAGTTTGAGGTTGCTTTTACAGGCCCCACCATATACGATAGAGCCGTAATCAAGCTTCGAGCGGACAAGTGATCTGTAAAGGTGTAGAAGCGTAGCTTGATCCCTCCCCCACTTGAATTAGGAAACGACTTTCAATAAATCGAGTGCCTTCAGGCATTTAGTTTTAGGGATTTAATATGCGGAAGAAAGGTTAAATGAGAGTCGAAAATCAGACCTGAGAACTTGGCCTCTTTTACAACCTTGATGGGAGTGCCATTTAAAACAGTTCTGGGTCTCTGTGTGGTTTATATTTATGGCAGAAATGTATGCAATTAGTTTTTGATTTAGAAAATTTAAAGCCGTTTTCAAAACACCATTTATGTATTTTATTTAAACACAACTGTAGTTGCCGTTCCCATAGTATGCATATTCTTACCGCGACAAGAAATGTTAAAATCATCCACAAAAGTGATCCATCAACTGAATCGTTTAAAACCTTTGATAAACTGTTAATCTTAATACTAAACAATGTTACAGACAAAATACTGCCTTGTGGGACACCCTGATCCTGATTATAATGGTCAGACAGGGTTGAACCCACTCGGACTTGAAATTGCCTGTCGGTTAAAAAACTGTGAAATAAAAAGAGGTAAACGACCCCTTAAGCCAAAATCATGTAAATCCTTTAAAATGCCATGCTTCCAGGTGGTATCGTATGCTTCTCGAGATCAAAGATTATCGATACTGCATGTTGTTTATTTACTATTATAGCATTTTGACAAAGGATTCCAAACGTACCAAATGATCAATGGTACTACGATTTTTCCTGAAACCACATTGAATATTTGTTATAAGTTAAATGGTTTCAAGATACCAAGTTAATCTATTATTTACCATTCGTTCCATGGTTTTACAGACACAACTCGTTAAAGAGATTGGTCTGTAATTAGACGGATCATTATGATCCCGACCAGGTTTTAGTATGGGGACTACAATGGCATTACGCCACGAAGTTGGGAAATTCCTGTAGTCCATATTGTATCAAAATTCAAAAGTGTTTCCAAACATGGTTCAGGTAAAATGCTTCAAGAGCTGATAGTGTATATTATCAGCCCCTGTGGCTGTATCATGAGCTTGATCAAGGGCGGTACGGAGCTCATGTAGTGAAAATAATTCATTGTAGTCTTCCCATTGTCTGAGTTGAAATTAATTCTTTTCTTCTCTTGTTGTTTCTGATGTTTCTGAAACTCAGGAACATAGTTGGATGAAGACGAATGTTTGGCGAGTGTTTCACCAAGCTTATTGGCAATGTCAGCCTTATCAGTTAATAAATTATCACCGTCCTTCAAAATGATGAACGGTAGATTTGGAACCTTTTCCCTTTATTCGTTAGGATCATGTTCCACACCTTTGACATCGGTGTGCGCGAATGTATTTTTGGAAACATAGTTTCGCCAAGACCGACGCTTATTTTGTTTAAATGCGCGTCGAGCCTTGGCATGTAAAATTTTAACTTTATCTAAATTGTGAACTGTAGGATGTCGTCGAAAATATTTTTTCGGCTTTTTCCTACACTTCCTGGCCTGTTTACACTCGGTATTAAACCATGGTTTGGTGAATGAGGATTTGCAGAGGACTGAGGTATGGTTTGATCAGCTGCTATGTCAGTGAGCTGATCTGAAAATATCTTAATTGGATCTTCAGTATTATCAAAACGATCAGGTGTAAGGTTTGAAGTACACAATAACTCATACATTTGCCAGTTTGCATTCTTAAACTGCCACCGAGATGACGATGAGTCAGCAGTTGGGGTCATGGCTTTTAGTACAGTGGGAAAGTGATCACTACCCCAAAGGTCATCATGAACTGACCATTCAAATTCTTTTAATAAGTTTGCATCTGTGAGAGAAAGGTCAAGGGCTGAATAGGTCCCAGTGGCAGGATGTAAATAGGTGTTTGAATCATCATTAAATATGCATAAGTTATTGTCATTTATGAATTCCCTCAAGGACTTTCCCTTTATTATTTGTATTTATACTTCCCCATAGAGGGTTGTGTCCATTCAGATCACCCATGATTATGCATGGCTGAGGGAGCTGATCGTATAGTTGTTGAAGCTCAGATTGTCGGAGTGTAGTAGATGGAGGTATGTACAATGAACACAGAGTAAATACAATGTGTAAAGTTATGCGGACGGCAACAACTTGAAGATTGGTATTAAGGGCAACAGGGCTGGAAATAACTCCTTGTCGTATGAAAATAGAAGATCCGCCTGAAGCCTTATCTCCAGGTGGAGAAAACGAATGATAACAGTTGTACTGTCTCAAATCAAATTGATCAGTCGGTTTAAGATAAGTCTCTTGGAGACACAGTGCTGATGGTCGAAAATCTTGTACTAATAACTGTATCTCATTTAAATTCCTCCTAAGACCTCTGCCATTCCACTGGATCAGAGTTTTGGAGCCATTCATGGAGGCTCAACTGGGGGTCTAGAATGTATGGAATGACCACTCTCATGTATTGGAAGCGATGGAGTGACATCCATATGAAGCGGTTCAAATGGATTGTGAACCGTTACATGGGCATCCAAAGAGGAGGGGACCTCTAAATGCTTTAGAGTTTTACCCTTTTTCTTTAACTGTTTTCGTTGATTTTTTGACAGGTGAATTGTCCCATTTTCCTGGTCAGATGTTGGCACAGTCAGTGCTTCTGATTGTTCCTCCGTCTTAGAAGCTGATGAGGTCTTGTGGACAGTTTCGGATGAGACAGATTGATCAAATATGACCTGTGTATCTGTCACCCAAGATATCTCTGTCTGACATGAAACAGATTGCTGTGAAACTTTAACAGGACAAGATGAAGATACGGCTGCAGAATAAGAGGCAACAGTTGGTCGTGTCGTTATTGGAACTAATTTTTGGGCTTCTGCAAAAGAGATGTTGTTGGTATACTTAAGTTTGAGTATTTTAGACTGATGTTCAAAACTGGGGCAAGATTTGGATGATGCTAAATGCTGTCCATCACAGTTGGCACACTTGATTTCATTTGTGCACTCTGCGCTCTCATGAGCCCCACTGCAACGGACACAGATAGAAACATGATTGCAAGTCCTGGCACCATGACCAAATTTTTGGCAATTAAAACATCGTAGTGGGCTTGGAATATAAACGTCCACACCGATATTAAAGTAACCAGCCTTTATTGATTTCGGAAGAGTGGAGAGGGCAAAGGTGAACAGGTAAGTATTTGTGTTGATAATAGTGTTGTCCTGTTTTCTGGTGAAGCGTTTCACAGAGGTAACGCCTTGATTTGTTAAAGAAGCAGAAATTTCATCTTCTGACATATCAGACAGACATTTAGCCCTGTCCCGAACTATCCCTCTACATGAATTCAGTGATTTGTGCACCGAGACAACAACCTTAGTGTTAACAAACTCCTGGAGACCCAGCAGGTTAACAGATTGCTGCTTTCGAGCACATTCAACAAGCAATGAACCACTGTGAAGACGATTTACATTCTTCACTTCTCCGCAGACACTTTGTATGCCCTTGGTTACAGCGAAAGGATTGATTTTTAATGGATTTCCATCAGCAGAAGATAGAACGATAAACTTTGGCCAAGATTTTGCAACATCTGGAGAAACTTCTTCATCAGAAGACAAAGACTCTACGTGGCGACGTTTAGTTGTTTTCGAAGAACCAGGGTTTTGGTTTTGAGACATGGCGTACAAATAGTATTCAACACCCTCGATCCCCACCCGCCATCGAGTGTCAACATGGACGCTGTTGGAGAGGTAACCATCTCCAACACCAGGGCTACAAGGGTGTTATACTCCAGCAAATACAACGTGAATAGCCATATTTGCCTACCAAAAACACTGCCAGGCTGGTTCGGCCCATAACAGGTAATTGGAGACATACGGAATTCAGAGGGCGACATTACCAGATTGGCCCATGAGCCACCGCCTTCTGGCAAAGGAGTTGTCTATCCATAAAAAGTGTATTACATTCAACGATTTTGACTTTGCAATAACGCCATCATCTCTCAACGATGAGAGTAGATCTTTTCTGTAATTGATCACCCAACGAAACCTATTTCACATGTGAAGGTCTTCTCCGGGATGTAATATTGCTGTGTGATATAGGCACAGATCATTGTGACATTTACAGGTCATTGTGACATTTACAGGTCATCGTGACATCCACATCAATCACTTTCAGAATAGCATCATTATCAAAGTTATAAGTTTACGAACATCATACGGAATCCCACAAATGACAATACCACGGCAGTCATGTTTCCATTGAAACTGTCTCTCGTTTAGGGCAAGGACGTCCTGTCGGACAGGCAGCATCTGTCAATAATGTTCCCTTGAAATGTCTTTAAATCCCGGTGTGCTTATTTCCTACAATCACACGACAAACACATCTTATATGTTTGTTTGTTTTGTTTTTGTGTGTGTGTTGTGTTTTGTGTTGTGTTGTGTGTGTGTGTGTGTGTGTGTGTGTGTGTGTTCGCTTCTATTTATCGCGGGATTGTCATTCACACATGGTACCAATTGTAGAATCGAACTTGGGTCTTCAACGTGATGAGCAAACGCCTTCCACTCATGACTACCGAATCGTACCCCCAAGGACTGTGACTGAAGAAGGTGAAAGAACAGATGAGGTCCAACTTTATGGATGGATACTTGCTTCACAACGATACAAGAATCTGTACCGAAACGTCACATCTACTGTGTATGAGTGAGTGGATGCAAACATTAATCATAACGCCTACGACCTTCGACTGAGTTACAAAACAAACATTGATGAAAGGATTAACCGATAATACGCTGATTCATTAATTGCTTTTATTTTGCAGAGCGGATTTGTCAAAAGGTAGTGTTTATGCATGTAGATTCACTCATCTATACTGAATACACCCTGTTGTAAAGTGCCTGTGTAAAAACGCCCTTCCTTCAAAGGATTAACCACCAATACATTGATTGATTGCTCATTATTGGCTAACTAAATTACTTTGTTAAAGAATGGTGGACATCATGCAATTAGTTGCCAGGTGTGCTATCTTGGGTGACCAATGGGACTATATACCAATGTGAAAAACCTGAAACGATTGATCACTTTTTCGCATATTAGACTGTTAAAAGACACATGACATGGAACAGGATTCTTTGTCAGCTGCAGATGAATGGCATATCGTTCCTTTATGTGGATATTGATGGATACATCCCCCGAACAAGGTAATAGCCTAAAAATTGTTGCTATAACTTTAGTCTGTTTTAATCTTAACATTGCATTTTGTTTATATTCATTTGTTTTAGCATTTAACAGAATCATTTCTTTTCGCCATGAAGTGTAATGAGACAGATAACATATACTAGGTCGTACTTAGGGCGTGTATGTGAAATATGATTCACGTTGGCAATCTATAAAGTGTCTAGATATTACAGTCATGTCATTTAACTTAGTATAAGCAGATCGTGTGCATTTTATTCATTTTCAAAATGCATACAAATATGATAATAAACTTATTAGGATTATAAGACAAATGTAAAGACGTATATTGACTTCGTTATTTTTCAGTCCTAACACAAGTCCTGATACTTATACTATCAACTGCGCATGAGGGTGACGCAGCAGAGGTAACGAACCAGTCAAGAGTTCTGGGATATCATCCGGGTACTCATGGGAGAAAAACAATAACAAAAGCAGCAACCAGTCCACAGAAATTGCTCTGGATCAGTGCCCCTTTAAGTGCGACTCACACGGGTCAGCACGTCGTAACGACCTTCCGATTTCCATACATTCTACAACATGTTCGGTGGTTGTAACGAATATTGACTGATCGGTTTGCTACGTCTCACGCGATTTGATCTGCCGATATTAGTGTCGATCTCATGATATCTCGCGGTATTTTGTTTCCATGGTATCAAAATGTCTGACGCTGACTCAGCGGCCGTTATCTGCTGCGCGATACTATGCGAGGAAGACGGTAATCTCAAAGCGACGAAAGAGAAGTTCTTAACCAAAGAAAGATTGGATCATCCGTCGCGACAGGCCCGGAGCATACAACCATCTCATTAAAGGCCTTGAAATTGAAGATGAACAGTCGTGAAAAATCGAGGCATGGCTTCTTTGAAGCAGACGAAGCCATGTTTCGCGCTTGTATGTAAACATTTACCAAGTGACTCCAAAATGCAATTTGATTGGCTGCGCCACATCCAACTTGTCTAATAACTAGAACCGGCTCAACACAGTCGTAACACAGTCGTGACACAATCGACGCGGGTTCGAGCGGCCGATTTGTACCGTCTGTTGAATTCGATTAATTACTCAGACGATACGATTCGGTCGAATTCGGCATATCGAATCGATGGGCTGACCCGTATGAGTCCGCCTTTACCAAATACCATTGCCGGGTGAATGTATACTTACATCGATATCTCACACACGAAAATAGGAAAAACTGGTACTGGTTTCCACAACAAAATGAATACCTGACAGGGATTAATCCCATGAGTGGGCATTTGAGTACTATCGTCTATGTTTTTACCTATGCGGCATAGGGTGACGTAAGCTGTCGACATGGTATGAAAACTGATGAGCAGAGAGAAAAAAGTCTCATAATGCGGTTAAAAAATCAGGGCGTAAGGAAGCAAACTGAGCGCCGGTCTGAACGTTGAAAATTGCACAGCTTGTCAAACACCAGACACCCATTTTAACCACAGTGGGGTTCTTATTTCGCTTGGGGGATGCTTTCGAATGTTTCGTCTTCGCGGTCGTCTGGCTACTTCTGTTTTTCAAATTTAATTAAGTATTTGAGATTAAGCCCTAAAGTACTGAACTTTGAAAAGTTGTTGTGTTGAGTTTTCACACTCTTTAAGGCAAGCAGTAAATATCAAGTGCGCCGTTATTTGTGCGAAGGCAGCGAATTTTCTGGCTGGTGTTTCTTAATGAACATTTTCTTGATACTGAAATACATAAACTCATGGGCATAGGTGTCTTCTGTTCGGTTCCGAGTAAGCGCGGCGACAAGGGGTATCATGTGTCCTTGAAAATCTGCATGAATGGAATATAGCTGGTCAAACAACCTTGGTGCTGAAGAAAAAGTACCATCTGCAAAGATGACATCTGCGTGAGAATGAATCCCAATCTTCTTGTCGGTTTTAAAGATCAGCATTGTATCTGGACCAATGGGGGTTATGCAGGAACCTGTTTCCAGCTTCTGTCCTCGTCCACTGGTCTTCTAGGTTGATGGCGTAGATCGATGTTCATGTTGTTGATCCCTGTATTGTCTGATGCAGACTTGAATATTTACAGACCGCCGCCATATAGCTGGAATATTGCTGAGTGCAGCGTAAAACTAAACTCACTCACTTACTCATTCTAGGTTGATATCAGCCAGCGCCTGCGGGAGTTTGGGAACAGTCTTGTGTCGCTGCCGGTACATGATGGTTCTTAGAGTATCACAGATATGGATATAAAACTAGCATGGAAAACTAAAACATTTAATTAAAGCAGACAATACAATATAAAACACGAGCTATAGATCGCCAACAACTGAAGGTAGATCACCATACTAGGAACCATGGGGACTTACAGTACTTTTGCTACCTGCATGGACCCTAGTTGGATTTACACCATACCCTTCAGCCGCTGGCGATGGTAGGAAGATTAAGCCGAAATTTAAAATACACGAACTAAAGCATTTTAAGATGTTTACTCCTATTTCTCTGTTTTAAGAATCAAACCTAAAAAGGCAAAGATTAGTTCTTAAAATTTTGCAACAAATGAAATTTGGTTTGTCTACATGCCGGGCACCTTTAAAATCCACCACCTTACATTTACCACATCTGATTTACCATTTCATCAAGCCGAATCCTGTGTACAAGGAAGGCATGCAAAAGTGGCCTTGATCTTTGGCAATATTAACAGGGCGTCACAACACTTTCCAGACGCAATTATATCTAATGTTAGCCACGGCACACGGCATAAAAACATTTCAGATTTACAGTTGTAAAGTTACAGTTATCCAGTTTCTTTATATCCCAAACTAATGGGTCGCTGAAGACAAATCCTAACCCGCATCTGCATGTTTTTTATTGGTGAATCGTTTGGGGGGAACGTGCACTTCTATTTCATTAAACAACAAATGATTATAACACTTTCAGTCAGGTTATTTCACAGACGATTTCGTGCAAACATTATTCATAATGGTTACTAGAACATGGTGTAAAATTCAAAGTTACAGTGTAACATGTCATTGTATTGCTGTGTATTTCAGTGAAATTAAAGCAGGCTACACATTGGTCTGATATTGTAGTCTCGGCAGCTTTTGGGGAAAAAGTGCTTATTTAAGGCGCTGAAGACAAATCGTGCTATTTCTTGGCATACAAGCTTTATAGGGGTATTGAGGGGTGCTGAATCCAAATATGCTGTATGTCAATCTACAAGATGCCCCACAATGCCTCAAAATGCAGAAATCCAAGTTGGTCGCCAACGCCAGATTGAAACCTGAAAACTACCATATCACTTTCTTAATCAAGTTAGAAAGTTGCAAAATGCTTTTTGAATGTTTTCACATATGGGGAATGCAATGCAATACTCAGTTTTGTGATCAAATTGGAAGAAAATGATTGATTTGCATACCTACAGCAATATTAATCATTTTGAACAATGAACAATGAATGAATTGTGAATATTCAGATGGTCAAAAACC